CTTCCAGGTCACTGAACCTGATTCCAGTTCCCAGGGGCCTGTTTGCCAGGGGCATTCGCAGTGCCAAGCATTAGCTGCTGCTTTCAAGAGTGGGTGTGTGAGGGGTGGTGTGGCGGCTTCCTTCTGGCACCGCGAAGGGAGCAGGCACGTGCAGAAGGCGACATTCAGAGGAGAGGATCCTTGCCCCGAAGCTTGCATTTTGGGTGCCAGGTTCTGAAATCTTGTACTGTGAGCCCTCGGCAAGTTTTCCTCCCTCCTTTCCTTTCTCCTTCTCTTCTTCCTTCTCTTCTTCCTTCTCTTCCTTCCTCCCCTCTCTTCCCTCCCTCCCTTCCTTTATAATTAATTGTCCCATGAGGTCAGCAGCTCAGAACTCCCCTCCACAAGGTGCTGCATGGCGTGCTCCAGGCGTCCTTCTGCAGCATGTGCACTGAGAGCCCTGCTCAGGAGGATGGGGCACTGCTCGTGCTGAGGGAGGAGAGGCACCAGAGGGACAGTGTGTTCCATGAAGTGGTGCTAGTCACTGCTTTAGGCTGCACAGGCAAAGAAAAACTGACTGACTCATGAGATCAGTGTCAGGAGTGGCTGGAGCACAGTGTTCACACTGTGTCTCCGTGCCTCGATGCTGGCTTCACTCATGGACAGGCCCCTGGCACAAAATGGCCCTGCCATCTCCAAACTTAAATGACCTTGGCTCAAGGATTCAAGTAGAAAGACACCTGCTTTCTCCCAATAGTTCCCCCTTCCCAAATCCAAAATTAAACATTATTTATAGATTCTTAGATCTTTTTTTTTTTTCACATTTCACTAGCTGTGAGAGTTGATGGCTTCTTATGTTGAAATCGCAACTTTTAGGGCCGGCCCGTGGCTTACTTGGGAGAGTGTGGTGCTGATAACACCAAGGCCACGGGTTTGGATCCCTATATAAGGATGGCCGGTTAGATCACTTGGGAGAGCGTGGTGCTGAAAACACCAAGGCAAGGGTTAAGATCCCCTTACCGGTCATCTTTAGGAAAAAAAAATAAAAGAATGAAATTGCAACTATTTTTAGAGGTGATTAGGATAGCGGTCCATTTTATAATTCATGGCATCTCAGAGTAATGCATTATGGTGGCCCCTCTGG